GCTCCCCCCCTCCCCCCCTCCCCCCTCCCCAATTTCTTCCCACACGAGTGGTGGGAACTGCCAAATGAGCACTAGATGAGCAGTGCACAGCGGCAGCAGCTGCCCCCTCTTGCCTGCCCCATCCCAGCTGGGCAGCCCCAGCCCCAACTCTATACCCTCCCTTGCCGCAGGGGGTATTCATCTGCCCCCCATGGCCCTTCCATCCCCCATCCCTCCCACCACACCTGACTTACCAGCTGCAGGCAGCTCTTCATGCTGCCGGCTCTGCTTCTCACTATCTATGTGCTGCGCTGCTTCTTTGCGCGCACATGGGTATTTATCAGACAAATTATCAGCCACATTGGGCCAAATTCCGATACAGAAAATTTTCTTTCCATTAGTGTTGACCCGATATCAGACTGATGTATCGGTGCACCTCTACTTAAAAGTACACGTACCTACTTAAGGTTCCTGTTGCAGAATAATTTCTGTATGCTACTTCAGAATGTGGTGCATGTTAACGTCAGTGTATTTACATTTTGATTGTAACAAGGTTAAGATAAGCATACTGTTAACAGTAGATCTATGCCATCAATCTTAAAAGTGTATGCTTAAGTAGCATTTGTAGTTCAGATCCTAGTGTTGATGCAAATGATTTGTTTGCTAAAATAATTTAAGCATGCCTTCATTCATTCATTTATTTATTTATTTTTACAGTCTCTGGGACCGGAATAGCATGACTGAAATAAAATCAATAAACGTTGCAATGTCTGTGAGCAGCATGGAATACGTTCCAGAGGGAGAAATTCTAGTGATAACTTATGGCAAGACTATTGCCTTTCATAGTGCTGAAACGTAAGTTCCAAACATGTATCCTTAGAAATACAGAGAGGACTAGAGGGCATATGCATATAGTTATTGGTAATGCTGAGCTTGTGACCTGTTCTGAAGTAAGCACCGCAAAAGTTTATACTATATACCGGCAGTCCTTGGACTTACGACACAATTGGATCCCGAAAACTGTCTCTTAAGTCGAAACGTTGTAACTCGGAACCAATTTTCTCATAAGAAACAATGTTATAAATGGGGGTTTGGTTCCTGAACCAAGGCCCAATACCCTATTTTCACCAAAAATACCCCAGAATTTTGTACTCGATCAATTATAGATGAGTTATATAGCTACATTAATATATTTATATTGTAAATAGCAATCATTGATTTGGAAGGACTTCTTTGAGGTGACTTTGCTAGCCTTTTTTTAAGGTCTCTTGGTTGGACTTTTTGAAAGGTTCTTGGTTGGAGTCTTCTCATGAGTCTTGGCTGCAGATTTTTTGGAGTCTTGTCTGCATTCTTAAAGCAAGTGTCCAAGGAAGTTTGAACAGATGTTCTCCAGGGAGATGAGCGACGCAGTGAACTTGTTCGCTGGCGTGGCATGGCATTGCATCAGATCAAGTGTTGTAAGTCGAAACTGGCATTGTAAAGTTGAAACAGGATGTCAGTTTATAAACGTTGTAAGTGCAAAGCGTTGTAACTCGAAACGTTGTAAGTCGAGGACTGCCTGTGTCTCTGATTTAGTCAATCTATAAAGGAACAAAGTGATTCTGCCTTCTGCATGGTTTTGATGTGGCAATGTTGATATTCCCCCTCTCTACAGTTTTTTCTCCCACCCCCTTCCAACAGTTTCTCCACTTGTTTCCCACTTCACCAGTAAAGAAGGGTATAAACATTCATTTTCATTTACCCTTAAAATACAAGTGTAACTGAAAAGTGTCAACTCTTGAGGAACAAGAAAACACTTCTTTAGTTTTATTGCACAAGGCCTGTACTTGTTAACACAGTACAATTTGCAGCATTTGACATCCTTCTTAGGTAAACAGGTAGAAGGGCAAAGGTCTGCTGAACTACTTGGCACAGAAGTGTTTCTTTCTAACCTGGTGTTGAGATTTTGAAGATGTATTGGGAGACTTGTATTACTGCAACCTCTGCTATATTGTGTTTTATGTTTAATTAGTTTAGTTGGTTGTTCTCAGATAAATGACTTTCAGGAGAACAAATTGTTTAAATGTCTTTAAAATGTAAAATTGTCTACTGAGACTTGTTAAAATGGCTTCCATAAGTGCTTAAGCTGTAGTTGTTTTGTTTTAATTTATCAATCTTATCAGTACGCACATCTGAATTACCAGGTGTATTGCTGTGCCAATTTTATGTACCAGCAAAGTATTTAAAGCAAATTCTGTTGAAAATTTGGCTTCTCTGTGGAATATTTCAGAGTTAAGGACCTCATTTTAAACAAATAGGAGGTGATTCCTGTCTTGAAATACTTGCAGTTCAAGAAGTTAAACTCTTCCCCTCCCCCTCCCCCCTTCACTTTTTTTTTTCTTTTCCATTGTTCCAGTCAAGTGGGTGTCAGATGAGGCCTATGAGCCAGACCTGGCCCCTGAGGCTGAATGAGTTTGATACCTTTTCAGGAGATGGTTCATTAAGTCAGTTAAGTTTTCTGTACTCCCAGAATGACTAATGAGGCACTCAGTACAACTAGCATAGTCTCTGCTGCCAGGAGTTTACCATTATAAAATTGGATAAAACAATTGAAAGGCAGGGGAAAACAAGAATATTTTGCTATTAATGCATTGATGTGGTATAGGTATTAGTTGTTATCTTTACTACTTAAATTACTTTTTTTGGGGGGGAATTAAATGTTTTAAGTTGTAATGTACCATAAGCAGAGCATCCAAAGAGGCCTGCTTCAGCTCTTAATGTGAATGAGGCATAGGTCACAACCCATGGATGTAAGCTTGTCTTCAGCTTGGCAAATTTAAATGGTATTTTTGAGACTTCTGGAAATGGCATTTTTAAGGAACCCTTGTGAATTGTAGAAGTAGTGCCAAATTTGCTTTAAAGGCCTTGTTTTCAGGGCTAGGTTTTTGTAGGTTTGTTTACATAATAACAAAATGTTTCTCTCTAGTCTAGAGCAGATTAAATCATTTGAGGTTCCTGCCACAATCAATTCTGCATCTCTTCACCCTGCGAAAGAATGTCTAGTTGCTGGTGGTGAAGATTTTAAACTTTACAAATATGACTATAACTCAGGAGAAGAACTAGGTGAGTGTTTTTCAAGGCTTCAGGTGGTTGACATCATAGCATAATGTGTTAAATTAACCTTTTGATAGGCACCCAAGTTCAAGGAGATACAATTTTTGCTTATATCTATTAGATTTAGAAGCTGCATATGCTGAGAAGGTGCTATATTTATATCTCCTCTGACCTGTTTCTAGCTGTATTTGTTCCATTTGTTGCTTAAGCTTTTGAAATTAATACTTCCAAAATTATTTTTCTCATAGAATCCTACAAAGGGCATTTTGGTCCCATTCACTGTGTGAGATTTAGCCCAGATGGAGAGCTGTATGCTAGTGGCTCTGAGGACGGAACACTAAGACTCTGGCAGACAACAGTAGGGAAAACGTATGGTCTCTGGAAATGTGTAGTCCCTGGTAAGAACTTGGGTAGTTCTGGTAAAATTTAGTTGCATTATAACATCTAAAAGTATGTTCAAAGTCTAACAATTAATTATTAACAAGGCAGTATTTTATATAAAAACTGCTAGTTGAATGTGTGACCTGCATGAGCTTCGCAAATCGTAAAGGAAGTAAGTTGATCTCTAGATCAGATTTGTTCAGCTTAATATGCTCTGGGCTTTTCTTTTGCAGCTGTCAGTTATCCATTTCAAACCTATAAATGTATTAAATAAAAGCTCAGTGAATATTTTAAGTAAACTTCCATACATTTAATTGTATTTCTTTCCTTTTTATTACAGAAATTTAAAATATGATTGTATGGAGCAAGAAGATAAATATTTTAGTAATATAAATTTCAGAAATATCAGGACATTAGGAATGAGCATACATGAATGCTTAAGTAAAAAGTAGTGTCAAATCATGGGAAATTAACTTTGAGGAGTAAAACAAGAGCAATAAGAAACACCTACCAAATTGCAAAACTGCTGTCCAGCGGTGGAAGGCATTTACCAAACAAATAGCTTTTCCTGAAAAACACTTCCCTGCCCCCTACACTAGACAAAGGCATAAAAGAAATTTATCATCATCTATTAAAAATGGAAATGAGAAATAGAGGAAATGGCCAATAGAGAGGAAAAACAGAAATCATAGAATAAATTTTGTCTTTTTGTTCCCAGAAGAGGAAGGTGCAGAGCTGGCAAAAGCAAGGACCAGCCTTCCAGGAACTGCAGAGGAAGAAATAGGTAATGTACCTGCCTCAGTCTGCCTAGCAATGCAGATTGTATGCAGACGCTTAGTCTGGATTTACATGCTTAAGGGTATAATGAAGAGAAATGGTGAATTCTCTGTTGGCACTTTTAAAAAGTTTATAAGATCCCTTAATTTTAGTTTCCTTGAGAATAAGTGGAAAATAGTTTTCTTCTTGTATTTTGTTTTTCTATAGAATAGTGAACACGCTGTGTGTAATACTGAAAATTGTATTAGTTGTATGAACCATTCCAAAGGGTTAGCATGAAAGATGGATTCCAGTCATCTTTTATATCTTTGGAGAAATCAGTGCCATGATTGTTTGGGTGGTTTTTATAACTAAGATGAAGTTTGCTTGATGCCTTTTCATTTTATTTGCAGAAGAGCTTCCCTCTGAAAACTCAGATTCAGTGTACAGCTCAACTCCTGAAGTTAAAGCTTGAACATCACAACTGTTATGCAACACATGGATGTAATGACTTAAACAACCAGTGATAAGCAGGGGCCTTCCAGAGTTTACTCTCTACATAAGGCAAAGATGGGCTGTAATTGATGAGAATGCGTTGGAACTGGCTGTGTTGTTTTGTAGGAGAAATGAATATCAAAAAAGACTTAGTAGAGTTTTGCTATCTTTTAGCTCAGCTGCCTACTGTCTTTTTGAATGAAGTGTGCAAGCCAAGATCCAGTCTCTCCCAATTTCAATTAGACTCATTGTAGTGTGTTTTCTTTATTATGGAGAAGAAATATAACAGCTTTTACCAATATTTTTTTTCTGAAAGTTGGAAGATTCGGCTTTAGTTATAAAGAAGGGATTGTATACTAAAATATTCAGTTCATTTTTTCTGTTCCATTGTACATCGCTTCTGAACATCTGTTTTCAATTGTTTAAATAAAATGCCTCTCAACTGACTCATCTTATTGTTAGCATTGGGATTGTGGAATAGAAGCAACAGTTATTACTCTGTCCTTTCCAGCATCCATTGGTTTTGTATTATGCAAAAAGGAAAGAGATGAGAATAAGCGTGTTTTAGTATTAAAGTCTCTGGAATAGCGGATGATGAGTATCCTCTTTCACAAGCCTTGTATCTTTTACTCTTTAAACTTTGAATGTAAGCGAACCTCTCTCAAATAAAAAATTTGGAAAAACAGAAGTATAAAATGCATCTGAAGAAAGCTGAACATATTCCTGTAGAGGTACCACTGATAAATCTCTACAGCGTGGACTTAGGCATCCAGACTAAGTTTCAAAATAGAGTACTCCTTTCTGTCAGTAATATACTTTCTTCATTAAAGAAAATGTCATTGCTATTCTTAAATTTGTAATGTCACTTTAATCTTGTGTACAGTTTTTTTTTTTTTCATTTATGCACTACACGTGTTTACAAAAGCCTGATTGCCAACTTTCTTCCTTTTTAAGGAAGTAATAAAGGAACGATTTATCAAATGTGGCTTCGAGATAAAGTAGCTTTTGACAACATATGCTTCTTAGGTTCTGCCATTAAATTCTAAATGTGGGAGAGGGGGAAATGTGGTTTGTGGTATGTGAATGAGTTTAAATGTGTATTTGTTGTTTTGTTTCCCTCCTCACCCCCTTGTATTTTCGAGGAACGGTTTTTCTATATATCAGACTGGCTTGTAAAAATCAAACAAACTATCAAAAACCCTTTCATGCAGCTTCATCATACTTGGTAATGTTTAAAAAGAAATTTAAAATGAAAACGTAGTCAGTGCAGTTACAAGTCTAAGGGGAGAGAAGCCTTTTCTAAAAAAACCCCAGGAGATGGGAGATACACTGCTGTGATTTGTAGTTTCTCGTTCTATATTTTAGTGTTAAAAACAAATATAGGTGTGGTAATGTTGTTTGACGTGGTTGTGAAATAGCTTCTCAAGGGTGAATTTTACTTCTGTGTTGGAGTCAAATGAGGAATAGAGTTGTAATTTATGTAAGGTCAAATAGAATGGTGATTGGCAAATCCAGGCTAGTCTTTAAAAATGGGATTCTAAAATGAAATGTTTACATCAGAATTAAGAGTCAAAGACTGCATATTTTAATTTGTGAAATGAAGTTATCTGGAGTGTCACTAAGAATTGGTTCTTAGCTGTGAAGTTTTAAAGGTATTCTTTCCATTTTCACTTTAAATTGGTTTTGTTTTCTAATGTTGAAGATACAGAATGATACTAGTCTAGATCTCCAAAATCTGTGCTCACTCCGTGCCCTTTGAATTATCCTGTCTTAAGTGAGGTTCCAGAAGATCCTCTGTTAACATTAAAGACTTTTGACAAAATTAATAAATAATACAGTGAATGCACCATAATGAACTTAAAAAAAGGGATGCTGTTTTTTAATATTAAACAGTGCTGAAACAGAGAAATGTAGGAAAGGGAAAAACTAAACATGGCCAAGAAGTTCTGTATACATCACTGATCCTTAATCTATTTGGTCTCAAAATACTCCTTGTTGGCCTTGAATAGCACCCCATTTCAAAAACGAATCTGTTTATTATAATACTTACCTTCTGCAAGAGTGGTCAGCCAGCCAGCAGTGTGGGTCTGGGGAATGGCCTGGTAGAGAACCTGTGCCTGCTCTTCTCTGCTTATCTCACTTCCTGTGGTAACATAGGGTACCCCTGGCATCCTGATTGAGAATCACGGCTATACATAAACATTTGGGATTACAAAGTAAAACGGCCAACCACTGAAACTTGGTATCTAAGTAGTGTGAGAGTGATAGTGTAGCTGTGGTGGTCCAGAAATTATGCCAGGGGCTTTTTTAGGGTGACAGTTTTTATTTTTATCTTGTTCAAATCCTATGTATATGAGGAGAAAGCTTCCACTGATTGATACCAGGTTTTTGAGACCTATACCCTACTGAAGCCATCTGGGAAGACCAGAGAATTTCAAAACTTGACTTGGTTGTGTAAGCATGGTGGCTCATCTTGCATTACAAGAAGACTGAAAAGTCCCTTCATCAGGCTCTGGGAAAAGTGTAAATGGTACAAGATGGTTAAAAGTCCCCATAGGCAGAAAATAAATGTCATTTTTGTACAGAGGGAGCTGAAGATGGAAGGTTGTCCCTCTGGGGCCATGAGAGTGTCTTTGTGAGCTGTGTTAAGTAGCTCTTTGATGTGTTGATCAGGTAGAATTCCTTCCCTGGAGGTGTCAGATAGCAGGCAGGGAGGTAATTCATTGTTCTGCAATGAAGTTTATTTCTTACCTATGCGGACTTTTTCCCAGAGCCTGATGAAAGGACTTTGATCCTGAAAGCTTGCAGAAAAGGACAATTTTCTTGCCAGCTGGTCTAATAAAAGGTATCATTTTGGAACCAAGATTTCTAGTTTTTTGTGTGTCTTCTCGTACAATTGAGTAGTTATTTCTCGGTACCCCAGAACTACAAGGTTTTATGGTGCATCTATACTTGTTTCCTTAGTGTGTGCAGTAGCACCTAGCTCTCAACTCTTCCTCTGTTTACACCACTTGTGTATTTTGCCCAGAGTGAATTGCTGTGGCATAGATGCAGGAAAACATGTCAGACCCTAGCCCCTGCAACGGAGAAGAGTAAGATTGGAGGGGCTGGAGGATTCTTCCTGTTGCACACCCGCGTAGGGTAGGCAGTGGGTGTCCATGTGTGAATGCATAAGTAAGGAGGACGGCTGTTTCTGAAAAAGGACCATTTCAGGCTCAATCAGTTTTACTCTGAGAAGAGATCCCTTGTGACAGTCTAGCCAGGCTGCTCAGCAGAAGGAGGTTACTTGTACAAAGCTCCTCCCAGCCTGCCTGTGAAAGCCAATGAGCAACCCCCTTCTGGTTTGATCAGCTGCTCTTTCCTGCCTGTCCCATATAGGGGAGGAAGGAGGGAAGCGAACCAGGAAGTGCCGAAACCTATTGCTGTTCCCCGTGAGGCTCAGGGATCATGTCAGCCAGGAACCCGGGCATGGAGCTGGGTAAGGGATTGCAGCTACTCCACCCTGCTTGCAGCCTGTTCACATCTCAGCCTCCTGTGGGTGAGCAGGTCTGGTGCAGGGCATGGAGCCAGGGCAGGGCAAGGTCCAGCTGTCTGACCAGGGGTCACTTCCTAGCCAACCACTGAAACTCTTGGTTTCTAAGTAGTGTGAGAGTGATGTAGCTGTAGTGGTCCAGAAATGATGTCGGAGGCTTTCTTGGGGTGACAGCGCTTATTAATTTTTATCTTGTTCAGATCAGTTCCAAATGCAATAGGACAAAAGCCCAGTAAAGGTCCAAAATCTGACTGAGAGTTCAATCATCAAATCTGTGTGGCTCTATAACCGGGCAAGTATTCTCCTTCTCCATTAGTCTGGGGCTTCGGATACTCCCCAGGCAGGTATCCTAAATGCAAGCCCCAGGCTCGGAGGCCTTGGGGTTCAGATGCCCTTGGTCTTGCTTGATCTTAGCCAAAAGGCTGAGAAACAATTAAGTGATATTTTTATTGGAGCAACTGTATAGTTGGGATAAAAGTCAGACAAGCTTTCAAATGTAAGACCTTCTCCCTCAGGTCTCTGTAGGAGGCTAGGCAAAGCAAGTGAAGCACAGTGTAGGGGAGGGGCTGAAAGTCTCACTGTAGTGAACCCAATTAGCAAAAGAAAAGAAGCTGAGTACTGGGAGATCAAGACCTATCAAAAGGAAAAGGGGGGGGGGGGGTCAGTCTCACCTTCCTTGTGTGAAAATTATTCAGGAGTTGGATAAATTTTAACAGACCATAAATCCAATATCAGTGTTCAGTCCTTGCTTCTTAGTGTTCAGCCAGCTTATGATTGAGGGTGGTGATTGTTAAATCTGTAGTGGATATAGCAAGTCCAGGTGTTCAGTCCAGATAATGAAAACATCATCTGTGTAACATGGGTATAGTGCAGGTTCGATGGTGCAGTTTCTAGAAATTCTTCCTCCAGGTGGCTCATGAAGAGGTTGGCATATTGGAGGGCCATCTTTATGCCCATAGCTATCTATGCCTGTGATTTGGAGGAAGTGATGGTTGTTTCTGGGTAGCTCTCACTGGCAGAACTTTGCTGCTCACTGTTTATATCATGTATCCTGGCTGGCAAACTGTCCACAAAGAGATGATCTCTAGGGAATCTTTCATTATGTTAAATGGTTAGATGAGTTGCTTTTTCAAGCGTATTTCAACCTCCAGGGTACTGTGAGGTTCACATTGTGCTTCTGGTGGATTACTAAATATTTGGAATTTGATATTTGCACTTTGATATTTTTCTTTTTCTACAAATGATTGACATAAGCTCTATTACTTGCTTTCTCTGCAACTTGTTTAACCAAAAGGAGAAATAAAGTCTTCGGCCATTGGCTCAAAATTTACTGTCCATGAGAAGTTGTATGAACAAAAGTCCAACAGTACAACTGCTCAGGTAAAGTAGTATACACTGGGCAGTTTTAAATCCAGTGTTTACTTTGGGGATGATTTTGCAATAGTCTTTTACACTTTTGCCAACCCCAGATATTTAAAGATGAATCACACCCCCTCCCCACTCCAAATCTCAAAGCTGGATTTAAAAAAGAAAAATAAAACTTAGTTTTATGTTATGATGTGTTTTATTTTACTGAACCTTTAAGGTGTTCTTGGGTCACAATTTTAAGCTGTTTTCTGCCACTGGGAGGACTAAAAATGGGTCTTTGTTTTTTGTTAAAATGAATCACCTATGCCCACAACTTAAGGTTTTAAATAAAACATTAATATTACATGTGTCATGATGAAATTGTATGGGCTGGCCAGACTGCTATTCCAGCAAGTTGTAATCACGCCAACAATATCACAAAACCCTGATAAGTTTGTAGCTGTCACAGGTTCTTCTTGAATTAATTTCTTTCACACCCCCCTGTACCTCCCACCTTAATGTAGTCTAGAACAGGATGTGCCTTTCTAGTCATTTAATTTTGTATATCAAGAGATTTACTTATCGTTTTCCAGGCCTTTTTTCTTTCCTGAAATGAAAGTTAGTATTTTGTCCCTGAGGACTGATTTTAGAGTTTCCCAGTGGATTACTGAGAATTCCCCCTACTCCTCCATAACTGTTAATTGGTGGAAATCTTTCATTTTCCTCCCTCTGAAACAACTGAAATGTTGTGTATCTCCCAAAAGTGAAGTGTTGGGTTGCTCTCATCTGATGTTTGACTTGAGGCTGCCTGTGAAGATAAGAGACTGACCCACAATTATAGTAATCTGAAAAGGATGTCTTTAGTTAATATATGTATATGTGCATATGCACATTAGTTAATAGTGTAGTGACTAATCTTCAGTTTTTGTGAGGAGGCAGTGAAGCGTACTGGAGTGCATGGGTACACATTTATTTATGCAAATTACAAAAATGCAGCACCTTTAATTCTTAGTGTAAATGTTACCTCTTATTTTGCAATTGCCTAAGTGGCTCGTGGAAGGCTTTTGTTTAGAAATCGGAAATGTTATTTAGCAGAAGTAGGTGCCTGTCCTTGAGTAGATTCCCATTATGTACTGGATACGTCATAGAATTAAGTTAGGGAATATAGTTTATATTCTAGCTCTACTTGCTGCATAACTTTGGGTGAGTCACTTAAATATTCTTGGTTTCACTTCTGTTTTAAAAAATGACAACATTTTTAAAGCTACAGCTGAAAAGCCCTACCTGAAGTAAGCATTATTATATTGCCATCACTTTGTCTTCATAATTTGCATTCAAAATATTTTCTGTCATGTTTTCTCTTCCCGTAAGCAGCTTTTAGTTTCTCAAGAAATTGGATTAATTTGTGTCCAAGGATTGAAAGCACTGTTGAATCCAGAGCCTTGCCGTCTGTGAACCCATCTTGAAATGCTTACTGACAGATTTTTTTTGTTATGCATACTTCTGAAATCTCTCCCTCTCTGTATTCTAGGTTGAGAACTGGAAAATCAGATGCTCTTATAGAAAATTTTTGAGTGGTGCCATTTTAATTCTTTTTTGACTGATCCTCATCTATAGTTGTCTGAAAAGCATGTCTTCAGTTAATGCACATCAGTTAATAGTGTAGTCATTTTTTTGTTTACATCTTTTTGATATTCTTTTTGATCTAATATCTTTTTGTTAATGATTTTACAAAGTGTTTTTGTTGTCCCCGACAACGGTAATTGCATGTGGATGGTGACAAGCATTTTCAAATAGGGCCATCTAGTGGTCAAATGTATTTACTAATATTCATAGTGGACAGGATTATATATAATTTTGTGGGTAACCCTACATTTCAATGTCAAATAAACTTTAAAATAATAAATTAGCTGAAAGACATGGTGCGTTGTCTAGATCAGCGGTTCCCAAACTGTGACAGATTGCACTCCACCAGTTTAAAATGTTACAATCTTAAGTACCACCAGCAATTTTATGTCATATAAAGTAATTATAATAAATCTGTTAATGTGTACCACTGGCAGGTTGTCTGCATACCACTGGTGGTACCTGTACCACAGACGGGGAACCACTGGTCTCTAGACCAAAAATGTGAGAGCAAGCTGCTGAGGACAGCAAGGGCGTCCTTATAAGGGAGGAAGTTACTGCATTTACTCAAATATAAGATGCCCCTGAATTTAAAATGGCCCCCCAAATCAAATATTAGATTCCCATTTACTGCCGGACTGCTTGTTGGCACTGCTGATTGGCCAGGCAAGAGAAGGAGTTTCCATGTGCTCTATGCCCAGAGAGACCCAAACCCGATCAAGAGTTGTGCCTGACAGTGAAGGGGAGGGAAGGAAGTGAGTGGGAGGGGGCAGAGGCTGCAGAGGGATAGCAGGGGGAAGGAAGCAGGAGGCTGCTGCGGTTCTGACTCTGGCCCTGACTCTGGGCCAGAGTCAGAGCCACAGCACCTGCCTGCTGCTCCCTCTGCTTCATATGTGAATACAAGATGAAGGGCTTTTTTCCTCCATGCGGATTGCGGGGAAGGATGGGGATGGGGATGTATTGTCTCATATTCGAGTAAATATGGTAATTGTCACTGTCATGCTTACACCAAGGAATGCAGATAAGGAGCTTGAGCTACTTGGAAGATTTGTATGCTTAAGTCTAAGCAATAAAGATACTGAACATTTCTCCTTCAGCTATTTTCCCCCTAGCTTTTCCAGTTGTGCTGGCAGTACATGGGACACATCTTTCTCCTATATCCAGGCAAGTTGGAAGGTTCAGTGGATGACTTCTACCTTCATGTCAGTAACTGCTTTCTTGTTAACTTGCGACAAGGGAAAGCAGTGCTGCTTGTGCAAAGACAGGCCTCATGCTCCAGGAATAGACGCTTGAAATTATGGGGAAAACAAGTGTTAGGAAGCCCAATATTTCTAAAGCAAAATAATATACTTTCCTTTATTTTACAGGCCAGCCAACCAGCAGTGTGAACTGATTTTATAGTCTATGCAATATTTATGATTCCTAAAGTGTTTGCCAGCTTCTTCTAACATCTTTTGGTTAATGATTTTGCAAAGCATTTCTGCTGTCCCTGACAATGGTAATTGCATGTGGATGGTGATAAGCGTTTTGAAACAGGGCCATCTAGTGGTCAAATATATTTACTAATATTCATAGTGGACAGGAATATAGGGTGTTTATAAAATCCTTATGCCACTTTAAACTTTAAGAGCTTTGGATGTACACGTGATAGAAGCAAGCTGTCAGTGGTGATTGAAAGCATAATTCATTAAGTTTTTTAACATAGTGTAAGCTATGCATAGGGTAAGAATCACAAACGCAACTCATGAAATCATTCGGTAGCAAGTGGAAAATGTTTTCTATGAGTTGGAAAATGAAATTGAATGCTATATCATGAAAGATGGTGGTTATGTTGAAGCTGATAAATTTGAGCTGTATTGTTTTAAAACTTAATGAATTATGCTTTCAATCACCATTTACAGTTTGCTTCTATCATGTGTACATTCAAAGTTATTAAAGTTTAAAGTTGCACAAGGACTTATAAACACCCTGTA